AAGGGTAAAAGAATAGCAAAGAAACAGCACTAACAAAGTTTAGACCCATAAATTTTGAAGGTCTAGCTACCATATTATTACCCACAAGGGTAAAGGAACAGTACCACTGCTGGATAATTGGAAAGTCCCTGTGTGTCAACCTCTGTGCTTCGTGGCAAGGTAGACTAGCAAACATGTCCAACCTTTACTCACATTCGAGAAAACACTCCCAATAAGATTGCTTGCTCCAAAATCGAAGAGGCACCATCCTCCGAATCTCGAGAGCCAGACTCCCAACATGACTACTTTCTTAAAAATCGAAGAGAGGGTAAAGGAACAGTACCATTGCTGGATAATTGGAAAGTCCCTGTGTGTCAACCTCTGTGCTTCGTGGCAAGGTAGACTAGCAAACATGCCCAACCTTTACTCACATTCGAGAAAACACTCCCAACAAGATTGCTTGCTCCAAAATTGAAGAGGCACCGCCCTCCGAATCTCGAGAGCCAGACTCCCAACATGATTACTTTCTCAAAAATCGAAGAGACACTGCTCCCCGAATCTTCGAGAGCCAGACCCCCAGCATGATTGCTTTCTCAAAAATCGATGAGGCATCGTTCTCCGAATCAATCGAAGAGGCGCTCGCTTTCTCAAAAGCTGGGCTGCTCAGAGACCACGAGGGCCGATCTCAGAAATCGAAGAGGCACCTACTATTCTAGCCTTGTCAGCACCTGTCACACGCACACTCAGCTTTGCAGAAATTATGGGCATTCTGTCGAAGACTTCTGGTGAAGTAGAAAGCACATGAATCTTACTGTTCAATCACCCACTTCCCACACGCAACAATAGCTCATGGGTACCACAGATAACTTTGCCAAAGTTCTCTGCCAAAGTTGAGCACGTGAAGCTTGCAGCTCCCACTACATCGCTCTGACCAAGAAAGGTAAAAGAATAGCAAAGAAACAGCACTAACAAAGTTTAGACACATAAATTTTGAAGGTCTAGCTACCATATTATTACCCACAAGGGTAACGGAACAGTACCATTGCTGGATAATTGGAAAGTTCCTGTGTGTCAACCTCTGTGCTTCGTGGCAAGGTAGACTAGCAAACATGCCCAACCTTTACTCACATTCGAGAAAACTCCCAACAAGATTACTTGCTCCAAAATTGAAGAGGCACCGTCCTCCGAATCTCGAGAGCCAGACTCCCAACATGACTACTTTCTCAAAAGCGAAGATAGGGTAAAGGAACAGTACCATTGCTAGATAATTGGAAAGTCCCTGTGTGTCAACCTTTGTGCTTCGGGGCAAGGTAGACTAGCAAACATGCCCAAACCTTTACTCACATTCGAGACAACACTCCCAACAGGATTGCTTGCTCCAAAATCGAAGAGGCACCGCCCTCCGAATCTCGAGAGCCAGACTCCCAACATGATTACTTCCTCAAAAATCGAAGAGACACTACTCTCCGAATCTCGAGAGCCAGACCCCCAGCATGATTGCTTTCTCAAAAATCGAAGAGGCATCGTTCTCCGAATCTCGAGAGCCAGATACCACAGACCACTTTTTCAAAGTGCTCTGACAGAGTTAAAACATGTGAAACTGGCAGCTCCCACTACCGTGCTATGACCAAGCAGGGTAAATGAATAACATTACTACTTGTTGTTAGGGAGACTCCTATATATGTCGACCTCCATCCCCAACGGACAGGCAGACCTGCAAAAATGCTCAACCCTTCATCATATCTAAGAGGGCACTCCCAACGAAGCCTTTCGAAATATTCAGCTTTCTTTCCCCCCGATAATACCTCTGCAAACAAGCTATACTAGAGCAAGAATATCTCATATCATCAGGGTTAAAAGCAAGAGTATCCCATATCATGCTTTTTCCCTGTCTTTTCATTTGGCCTTGTTTTTACCTGCAAGACAAGGAGAAAGAGAGCAATCAGTCAGCACTTGGAATCAAGCTTCCAGCCAGAAACTGACTGCCTGGAACCCCTTACCTGATTACTTACCTGGCATTGCTCTCGAGTACTCATCTTCAACATCTTATGTTTCCAGGGAAGATTTCCGCATCTGCTTGAGGAACAGATAGGGCAAGTGCGAAGGATACAAGGAAGCATGTGGAGACAAGCGTAACAGCACACGTGCCGATACATCCATTACTCTGTCAAAAGCAAAAGTATCTCATATCAGCAGGGTGGAACGTACTCTAGATTTGATGGACTTGTTTTGACCCTCAAATTCTTCATTCTTCAGTCGGCCTTATACTCTGGAGGAAACCAGAAAACCCTCCAGCTCAGTTCAAGAATAAGCCTGTGGAAAGTTACTTCTTCAAAAGCAAAAGTATCTCATATCATCTCTTCTCATTTTTCTTCTCTTTATCCTTCATGCTGCTGCAAGATGGGGAGAAGGTGAACAATCAGTCGGAGCTCTGATTGCTTACCTTGTCTGTCACCTCTTTCAGCAGACCCCCTAGCTCGACGACTTGGGGGACTCCTACTACATGGTTTGTATCGCGCTTTGACCAAGCTTGAAACTACAAGTAAGCTTCAAGTGAAATTGATACATTACCTTGTGCATCTCCACCAGTTAAAGATATCACCCCTGGATGGAGGAAGAGTACTTCCAGAGAAGATGCCACATCTACCTATGAGACAGATAAGGCAAGTCAAGACGACACCACACTCCGATACTTAGAAGTTTCGTGATTACGAGATCATTCTCCCACAATATTTCCTAATGTCATTTGTACTAAATCATTCACTTGTACTCATTAAAGGAGAGCTTGAACCCATGTACTTGTGTAAACCCTTCACAATTAATGAGAACTCTTCTATTCCGTGGACGTAGCCAATCTGGGTGAACCACGTACATCTTGTGTTTGCTTTCCTATCTCTATCCATTTATATACTTATCCACACTAATGACCGGAGCAATCTAGCGAAGATCACAAAAAGCGACCGTTTTCGCTACCTAGGATCTATCTTGCAAAGAGAACGGAGAATTAGATGGAGATCTCAACCATAGAATACGAGCTGGATGGATGAAGGGTAAGAGTGCATCCGGCGTGTTGTGTGACCGTCGTAGGCCACTGAAGCTCAAGGGAAAATTTTATAGGACGGCAATAAGGCCAGCGATGTTGTATGGCACAGAATGTTGGGCGGTGAAGCATCAACACGTACACAAAATGGGTGTAGTGGAGATGAGGATGCTTTGTGGGATGTGTGGGCACACGAGAAAGGATAAGATTGGGAATGAGGATATCCGAGGTAAAGTAGGAGTAGCCGAAATTGTAGGAAAGATGAGAGAAAATCGGCTCCGGTGATTTGGACATGTGCAAAGAAGGCCGACTGACGCTCCGGTTCGAAGATGTGACTACGGGACAGAGGTTCAGGGCCGAAGGGGTAGAGGAAGACCTAGGAAAACTTTGGAAGAGACTCTAAGAAAAGACTTAGAGTACTTGGATCTAACGGAGGACATGATACAAAACCGAGCGCAATGGCGTTCTAGGATTCATATAGCCGACCCCACTTAGTGGGAAAAGGCTTTGTTGTTGTTGTTGTTGTTGTGGTGATTGGTGAGCGTCTTGCTACAAAAACACCTTGCGATCTTCTTTTGTACAAGTAATGTTCTGATATATGAAAAACGGGTGAATGAATGTGTGAATGAATATTGCAGTTCACCCGATTAGACCAGAGCTTGGCAAGCCTTCTGATATGAGCTCAGCTGCTCGGATTTCTCTCTTGATATGTGTTGACATTTACTTTTTGATTAGTTTCTTTGGCGACGCAGTTTGGTTACTCAACAAAACTTTGATCAAAACCCTGATTTCCGCTTTGGACCTCAGATCTCAACGACATTGTTCGATTAAGCTACGCAGCTCGTCTCCTGCTCGTGTTCTGTGTTATTAACTTCTCCTTGACGGGGAGCATAGACGCATTGCTTTTCGTAAAGAAGCCTAGTTTGTCCCGGGACACCTCAAGATTTGTATCCCTCACTTGCGCCTTGCTCTTCTTTACTTACACAATGGCAATTGTTATCCCAAACATATGGTGTTTCTTTCAGTTCATGTGATCAACTACTATGGTTTGTCTCTTGTTTATATTCTCGGCCACTCTAATCTTAGGTAAGAAAAATAAATAATTTTGACCTTGTTTACTTCTCTAGATTGCATTGCAAGCATATTTTATATGGAGAAATGATTTTCACATACTCATTTTCTCTCTATGAACATCCTTGTTTATTTTGAGCCTTAGATTGAATTAAATAAATAAAAAAATATCAAGGAATAGAAATAAACCGGAATGTGCAAAAGGAGAAAAATGATGCATGGAATTTCCGCTTTATATAAGGCAGTTTATAGTTTCACATTCTTGACAAGGATGGAAATCGTATAACAAGAAGAAGGGACAAGATATTTGCAGTTTTGGTGATGATTTTGGCTGTGGGAACAAGCTCAATTGCATTATCCACCAATTTGTACAGTTCACTTCTTTGACATTCAGACTGCATTTCTCAAAGGCATCGGCGCGAAGTGAACCTGCCCGGCGCCCGCCCCTGAACTCGCTCTTTCCGAGAGGACTCACTCGCCCCAACTCATTCCAACCCAACTCAACTGACGGAGTTGTGGAGGTTTTATCGGTTTAGTTTTTTATCATAGTTGTTGTAAGAATGTGAACATGAGATAAGATGATCGGATATTAGTTGTTTGAGTCCAATCCGAATAAGAAAGCCTCTAAGAAGATGGAATTCAGTTCTTGGCAGTAGAGGACTCTATTGCAGGGAAAAACTGATTTGAATTAGGATGGCTTAAGTAGTTTTCCATAAGGATTTTAATAGGGAATCCATATTCTAATATGAGAAGGATATGTGTGTACATATATATATATATATATATGGCAATCTCTTCTCTCACATGGGTGTGCTCTTTTGGAACTAAGCCCTATTCTTAGTTTGAGTGATAAATACCCTGACAGAGAGAAGAAGAATTGCTGTGCTTTTCAGGTTGATCGAGATCCACCATGACTGCATCAAACGGGAGTTCTACAGGTTAGTATAATTAGGTTTTATTTGGATTGATGTTTTGTGTCTACTTGGTTGTAGTTTAAGTAACTGAATCTTGCAGCTAGATTTTGGTTTACATGTGGTATCAGAGCCATAGATTCATGTTCTTAAATTCAATCGATAAAATTGATTGAATCCAAAATAAAATTCCGGTCTTCAGACTTCGAAACAGGTTCTGGTAGTTAAAATTAGGAAAAGAAGAAACGGTGCGTTTTGATTAAAATATGATGATTAATACTTGACCGTTAAGAACTAATAAACTATCTTCTCTTCCGAATTGGGAATACAAATCGACATCTATCGATTTCGATTTCGGGGTTTGAAAAACTGGGTTATATGAATTGTTGTTGAGTATCCACAATTTATATTAATTGCTTCCGCTGCTGGGTGTTGATGCTTATAGAACAAACGGGTATGTCTCCTGAACATTGAATTGAAATTTGTTTTTTAATCAATCTTATCTTGAATTTCATTATGTTTTGCAGCATGATTCGAATAGTGAGCATAAAAATATGCTTATTTATGCTGATTAGTCCTATGTTTATGCGTTTTTCTCTAACCATCTATACAGGGAGTTCTTCGATAAGAACCTCTGCAGATTTCACTTGTTTTATGCAGAAAGTTTTATGAAGAACTGTTCATTTGATAAAGATCTGCTAACACTGTGTTCTTAAAAGGAAAAATCTTTTATTCTATATGTGCTTATCAATTCTTCATTGTTAAGATTATATATGGATAAAAGGTTTTGATGATATGATGTACAAAGGATTGTGAGATGAAATCTGGAACTCTAAACGTTCTTCTATGATTTCATTGTCTTCTACAGTGTCTGCAATATCAATGAAGACTCTGAATTTGGCTAACATCCCAATTCTTACTGGTGGGGGAAATTACAAGAAGTGGAGAAGGGAAATCAGTTTGCTGTTGACTCTAAACGAGTTTGATATAGCAATCGAGAATCCCAAACCCGTGGTCAATGATCAGAGCACAAGGGCTGAAAAGGCAGATTTTGAGAGATGGACAAGGGCTAATAAGGTAGCATTGTCCATCCTTGAGAGTGGCATGACTGATACAATCAGAGGAGGAATTAAGAAGCACGATTTGGCTGCTGATTACCTAAAAGCTATTGAAAAGAAATTTCAAGAATATGAAAAAGCTGAAGTGAGTCAGTATATGTCTTTATTAACTACTTACAAGATGGAGGGTACAAGCTCTATAAGGGATCACATAATGAAGATGACAGATGCTGCAGAAAGACTCAATGCAATGGACATAAACATAGGTGAAAAGCAGTTAGTATTCATGATTCTTCAAGCACTTCCCAGTAAATATAGTCAGTTGAAGATCTCCTACAATACTCAAGACAAAAACTGGGATATTGATCAGTTGATTGCACAGTGTGTGCAAGAAGAAACTCGTCAAAACAAGAAAGAGGCAAAGAAGTTGAGGACATCAACTTTGTGCAAACTATAAATGACAAAAAGTAGTTCAACAACAGAAGCTTTTCTGGTTCTGGTAAGAGTTCTAAGCCTTTTAAAACTTCTAATAAGTTCAGTAATTCTGCTAAAGTAGTTGACTCCCCTAGAAAATCTATCAAGTTTAAAGCTAAACCTAAAGATGTGTCTAAATTAAAATGTTTTTGGTGCAAAACTAAGGGCCATTTAAAAGTTAACTGTGAAATTTTCAAAGATTATGTAAAGAGCAAAGAAAAGGAACAAGTACTTGTCTGTATTGAATCAAATCTTTGTGAAGTACCTGTTGATTCTTGGTGGTTTGATACCTGATGCTCAGTGCATATAACTAATTCTTTAAATGGTTTTCAAAAACAAAAAGAATTTGGAAATGCTACATATAATGTTTTTGTTGGGGAAGGAACTAAAGTTGCAGTAGAGTCAGTTGGGATAGTCAAATTAGTCTTATGTTCTGGTTATGTTTTAGAGTTGAAAGATGTGCTATATGTGCCTAAGATGAGAAGAAACTTAATTTCTGCCTCTAAAATTGTAAAAGATGGTTTTTCTTTTCTTGGTGATGATGAGTGCCTCAAAATTTTCAAGAAAAAACTGTCCTAACACTATTTTAGGGACTGCCCTTTTGTCTGATAATTTATGGAATCTAAATTGCACTGTTAAGGCACTCAATCACACGATTTTCAGCATTAGTACTAAGAGAATGATAGGTCAGGATACTTCATACATTTTATGGCACAAAAGACTAGGACACATCTCTAAAGAAAGGATAATTAAGCTGTCAAAAACTGACTTGATTCCAAAATTAGATCTTTCTACTGCAACTGAATGTGTTGACTGCCTCAAGGGTAAAATGACCAATTTTAGAAAAACAGATGCCAAAAGGAGCCATGGGTTACTTGAAATCATACACACTGATATCTGTGGTCCTTTTCCAGTTAAGACAATATGTGGAAACAAGTATTTCATTAATTTCATAGATGATTTTTCAAGGTTGGGATATACCTTTCTGATTAATGAAAAAGCTGATGCCCTTAAGTGTTTTATAATTTACAAAACTGAGGTTGAAAAACAGTTAGGCAAGGTTATTAAAATTGTTAGATCGGATAGGGGAGGTGAATACTTTGGCAGGTACACTGAATCCGGGCAGCAAAAGGGACCATTTGCTCTCTATCTCGAGAAGAATGGTATTGTGGCGCAGTACACCACACCTGGAACGCCTCAACAGAATGGTGTTTCTGAAAGAAGAAACATGACTCTTATTGGTATGGTTAGAAGCATGATGTCCAGATCAAAATTGCCAGGATTCTTGTGGGGAGAAGCTTTGAAAACAACTAATCATATATTGAATCGAGTTCCAAGCAAGGCAGTATCTACCACACCCTATGAGTTATGGCATGGGAGAGTTCCTAGTTTTGCTTATTTCCATGTTTGGGGTTGTAAAGCAGAAGCTAAGTTATATAATCCTAATGAAAGAAAGCTGGATTCAAGGACTCAGTCATGTTATTTTATTGGTTATCCTGAGAAATCAAAAGGATACAGGTTCTATATCCCTCAAGGTCACACTCGGATCCAAAAGACACACAATGCAGTTTTCCTAGAAGATGAAGATGTCTCTCATTTGTCAAGGGAAAATTTCATATTTGAAGAGATGCATTCAGATGGTGGGGACCATGTGACAATGGATTATAATCCGGTCTCATTGTTTCCCAATCAATCATCAATTGCCATTGAAGATATGAGTGAAGATTTAGGAGTTCCTGATGACAACTCTGTAGGAGTTGATTCCACAACACAAGCTGCAACAATTCCTTTTGCAGAAGCATGTGAACCAGTTGCTGTTCCACCTCCAGTTGAAATCAGAAGGTCCACAAGAGCTCGGAAAACCACTGCAAGCAATGACTATGTGTACTTACAAAAGACTGAGTTTGATATTGGTGACATTGATGATCCTCTTACATATACTCAGGCAACTGAAAATCCTCTTCATATTTGAAGAGATGCATTCAGATGGTGGGGACCATGTGACAATGGATTATAATCCGGTCTCATTGTTTCCCAATCAATCATCAATTGCCATTGAAGATATGAGTGAAGATTTAGGAGTTCCTGATGACAACTCTGTAGGAGTTGATTCCACAACACAAGCTGCAACAATTCCTTTTGCAGAAGCATGTGAACCAGTTGCTGTTCCACCTCCAGTTGAAATCAGAAGGTCCACAAGAGCTCGGAAAACCACTGCAAGCAATGACTATGTGTACTTACAAAAGACTGAGTTTGATATTGGTGACATTGATGATCCTCTTACATATACTCAGGCAACTGAAAGTCCTCAAGCAGTTCTTTGGAACAATGCAATGAAGGATGAGTTAGATTCAATGTCCAAAAACCAGGTTTGGACATTGGTGGAATCCAACTCTGAAATTAGGCCAATAGACTGCAAGTGGGTATATAAAACCAAAAGGGATGCTGCTGGAAGAATTGAAAGATATAAAGCAAGGTTGGTTGCTAAGGGGTTTACTCAAAGGGAGGGGATCGACTATAATGATACTTTCTCTCCAGTTTCCTCCAAAGACTCCATGCGAGTTATCATGTCTTTAGCTGCCTACTTCGATCTTGAATTACATCAAATGGATGTAAAAACCGCTTTTCTTAACGGAGACTTACAAGAGGCTATATACATGAAACAACCTGTTGGATTTGTTGAAAAGGGGAAAGAGAATTTGGTATGCAAGCTCAATAAGTCCATATACGGCTTGAAACAAGCATCAAGGCAATGGTACCTAAAGTTTGATCAAATTGTCTCTGCACAAGGTTTTGTAGAAAACAAACTGGATGATTGTATATACATTAAGTTCTCAGGTTCCGAGTTCATCTTCTTAGTACTTTATGTTGATGACATTCTCCTAGCTAGTTCATGTCCCCAATTGCTTCATAGCACTAAGAGAATGCTAAGTGATAACTTTGAGATGAAGGATCTTGGAGAATCACATTATGTACTAGGAATAGAGATTGTTCGAGATAGGAAAAGGAGGCTCCTTGGTTTATCTCAAAAGGGGTACATTGACAGAGTGTTGGAGAAATTTCATATGGCAAGTTGCAATTGTGGTCAGGTTCCAGTCAATAAAGGTGACAAGTTTTCGAAGATTCAATGTCCAAGATCTGATTTGGAGGTGAAGAAAATGCAAGCTAAGCCTTATGCCTCGTTGATTGGAAGTCTTATGTATGCAACTATCTGTACAAGGCCTGATATTGCCTTCATAGTTGGTATGCTAGGACGATTTCAAGCAAATCCTGGAGAAGCACATTGGGTGGGAGCCAAGAAGGTTCTTCGATACTTGCAGAGAACCAAAACTCACATGTTAGTATATGGCCGAACTGATTCTTTGGAGCTCAGGGGGTATACAGACTCGGATTTAGCTGGAGATGTGGATGACAGGAAGTCCATAGGGGGTTATATCTTCATACTCAATGGAGGGGCAGTTTCGTGGAAAAGTGCAAAGCAAACTATTATAGCCACATCAACTATGGAAGCTGAGTTTGTAGCCTGTTTTGAAGGCATGAAACAGGCAGCATGGTTGAAGAATTTTTTGACAGATTTAAAGATTGTGAATTCGGTTCAGAAACCAGTAACAATGTTCTGTGATAACAACTCGGCTGTGTTTTTTGCTAAGAATAATAAAAGGACTTCAGCATCTAGATTGATGGACGTGAAGTTTCTTAAGGTCAGAGAACAAGTCAAGAAAGGAGTTATTGAAGTACAGCACATTAGCACTACTATGATGATTGCTGATCCCTTGACTAAGGCACTGCCAATTGGAGAATTCAAGAAACATGTTTCTTCAATGGGAGTACTAGAAGGTTTTGATCAGTGGGAGTAATCACGTGTGTGTTAAAGGCTTGGGATTGCAGAAGTATATGTGTTTCAAGAACTGTATGTGCAATTCTGACAAGCTGAACTAAGGATGCTTTATGTTTTAACTTGCTTTAGTTAGTTTGTTAAGGTTGTTTGTGTTTTAATAAGTGTCCTTGTCTGCTACTCGATACTTTGGCTTTCAGGTGTTGAGGTACGGATACTGGACTGAGTTAGAATTTAGTTTCATTAGTAACTTTGAAAGAACAGTTTGTCTGTTTTTAAGTTTGTGGTTAATGATTTTATATAGTCAATTACTATGTTGCTTTTCTGTGAAGATTAATGTGTGTTGTGATCTTTTGAAAAGTGGGAGCATAATGTTTGACGGTTTATGTTAGTCATGAGTCATATTTACAAATTGAATATATGTGAGCCTTGAATTAATACTACAATTTGGTTGTGGTCGGAGATTCTTGGTTTCTATATTTTGAGATGTAATGGGACAGTGGTCATGATGGTTAAATCTTAGATGAGGTTATGTGATCACTTCTTATGATTGGTGACGGCAAGGTTTGATCTTTGTCTCATGTTCAAGTGGGAGAATGTAAGAATGTGAACATGAGATAAGATGATCGGATATTAGTTGTTTGAGTCCAATCCGAATAAGAAAGCCTCTAAGAAGATGGAATTCAGTTCTTGGCAGTAGAGGACTCTATTGCAGGGAAAAACTGATTTGAATTAGGAAGGCTTAAGTAGTTTTCCATAAGGATTTTAATAGGGAATCCATATTCTAATATGAGAAGGATATGTGTGTACATATATATATATATATGGCAATCTCTTCTCTCACAGGGGTGTGCTCTTTTGGAACTAAGCCCTATTCTTAGTTTGAGTGATAAATACCCTGACAGAGAGAAGAAGAATTGCTGTGCTTTTCAGGTTGATCGAGATCCACCATGACTGCATCAAACGGGAGTTCTACAGGTTAGTATAATTAGGTTTTATTTGGATTGATGTTTTGTGTCTACTTGGTTGTAGTTTAAGTAACTGAATCTTGCAGCTAGATTTTGGTTTACAGTTGTTTGTTGTGAATGATCATTTTTTTTCTTTACATCTTTCAGAAATATATTATATTGGGAAGATGATCAAGTCGCGTGACAATTTCTGCATATTGAATAAAAGAAAACAATTGCGTGCACAATTATTTGCTTAAGATTTTCATATTCCGAAAATATAACGAGTGTAAAAACGAAAAACCTCACATCCTTAGAATTCTTCGACTATAATGGCATCGCGAGGCATTTCATAAGCATCTTTGGGTCGTGATTTCTTCATACCAGCGGTGAACCATACTTTTTCAGACTTATAGCCCTCGACAGAAACGCTAGTGACTTTCACCCACACCAGAACCCTTGTCTTCATTCCTTCGATTCCACTAAGCTTTCCCCTCGACAATGTTCCTTTGATGCGAATGCTGTATCGTACAACAGATGAGTCCTTGAAGCTCACCTCACAGGGAGAAGGCAAGTAAACAATGAGCTTGCCCTTTGATTCGTCAAATTCGTAACATGTTATGTTCCGGGGAAACAGGCCCGGTGGAAGGTAGTACTCTCGGAGAAGATCAGGCAACGGTTTTTGTTGCTTACCTGTACAAGAAGATAGACAGAAGGGTTTAAGTATGAACTTAAAGAACCATAAAGTCGTACTTCTGATTAATCAAGTGAATTGCCATGTGATTAAAGAATAAATTGGATCAGTTCAGCTGGGTACCAAAACCGTTCATACATAACACACAAAATTAAGGCTGTATTAGGCCGAGAACATGTTTTGAGAAATCCAATTCGTTCTCATTCAAACCAACTCATGCTCCATAACTAGTTAAGGATACATGCATTACCATATTTACTAGTTGTTGATACACCATGTTAGTTTTTCTGTATGATGCCTAATTATTTGATGGATAATGCGATTCACACACCTATTTTTACCTCCCACACACCTTTCCTTTTTTTCTCTTTTCTTTTTTTGTCATTGATCTTCTTCAATTCATTAGATCGCAAAAATTTGAGAAAAGGTGTGTAAGAAGTAAAAATAAGTGTGCGGATAACACTACCTTATTTGATTTCATCAAGCATACATCGTCCATCAACTTGCATGCATCTTGCCATTAGCACAATATAATAGATGTAGGAGTTTTATTACAAAAAGCGGTAGTCTAAGCAAAAGTGGAGCCACTCCAAATAAGTCATATTTAATTTTGTCAAATTTTTATATGACATTCAATGTATTCTTATAGAGTAAAATTACAAGGAATGAGGTTAAAATAAAAGGCTCCATATGTACCTTTGAGCTTGTTGAATATCCGTTTTGCTTTCTCCTCAACAGTGTTTGATAATGACTGAAAATTTCAATTGAAAGAAGAAAAAAAAAGCATTAGGAATTGTGAAAGATTTAGTAAAAGCAAATATAATTAACACAATTAATCTTAGACATAACAAAAAGATCTCAATTAAGCAGCATTAATCCAAGATTAATTCCAACAAAAGAAAACAATATAATCAAGATCAAGAACAATGCATGCAATAGAGGGTGAGAGAGTGTATGTGTGGAAGTTAGGGTGGTAGAATTACATACAGAGAGATCTTGAGTGATGTTGGAGATCTCTTCCTTAGCTTTCTTGGAAACCCAAAAGCTCCCAACTCTTGTCAGAGTTTTCTCCATTTTCCAACTCTTCACTAAAACACCAGATTGCAAGAAGAAAGAAGAAGAAGAAGAACAATGCCTCAGCCTCTCTCTCTCTCTCTCTCTCTCTCTCTCTCTCAATGTGTGTATTTGTTGGAGAAAAATAGAGTTAAGAGATGAGAGATGATGAGACATCAGCATATGAAGTATGAGTGGCAACTGCCAATCTGCCAAACTCACATGAGGCTACTGCATGAGAGAAAAAATAGTTAACCAAAACGATTCAATAATTCATGAACAAAAAATATTCTCAATATATCGAAATTTGAAAACTTTAAAAGAAAGGATGTGTCGCGGCTTGAGTCACCACCTTATTTATTACATTTGAATGAGTTTAAATTTTAAGATCTGTGTAGTGCATAGACACAAATCTCAAAATTTAAACTCATTCAATGGTAATAAGGGTTGTAAGATTGTGAACAATACCACCAGTTAAGGGTGGTGAACAAAACTGCACCCCATAAACCATATCCAAGCCTATGTAGCTCAAAACAACCAAATCTATATGGGGATGACCTTAATTCGTTTTTTATTAACAATCCCATTAACTATGCTTCCAATTCAATCAAGCGAATAATAATTGTTAATTATTTTGTACGTTAAGGGAGACAAGGACGAAGCATCTTCACCATTTTCTCCATTCATAGATTCAATAATAGTTCAATCATGGTTGGGCATATGGCTTATATATTGAGGCCATGAGACAATTAAAGATCATCCATCGGAGTTGGTATATTCTCCATTCTCAAGTGACACAGTATACAAGTCGGCTCGTTATTAAGATAGTCTTTATGCACGCGCTCATGATCGTGCAAAAGATCTCTTTTTTTTTTTTCCAGTCACGTGCATTTATTAAATAGCTTTATAATAGTAAATATATGAAGATGTTTTTGTGTAGTGCTTCTCATACATTTACTAAATAATCTCTCATTGGAGGAGATTTTAAGTTTGACTTACATAAATAACAATAACGATAACGATATATATTTGAGACAAGTTTCGAGCATTGTCTTGCCCACGTCGAAACTACAGACGTGGATACAGAATATGTGAGTCATATGCTGGAAAATTTATGGTATATACCATAATTACGAACAACAATTTGGACTTAATTAGCACACAAGAGCGCAGGCATATTTTTGTTGTCTATGTATATGTCACATAGTCCAACTACTACAAACATAGTCCAACTACATTTATTGCTCCCAATCTTTTGAACCAAAGAGGATTTTGTATTCTGCCGTTTTTGGTGATCAATCCAAAGCACTGGCGGAACATACACAGGTAGGACCTTCACCTTAATTTGTAGCATACTCCAAAGCAAATAAAACAGTGTTTCATTCTATCGTTAATTCCCAGAATTCACATCAAGTTTCCTGTGACTTATTTCTCCACTTTCACTCAATTTCCCTGTCAGGTATCAATAATTCATCAATACAATTTAGCCCATATATGATTTAACTGACCGGGAAATATGGGAGAGATTGATACCAAACCAATTGAATCAGTCCGGGCTGCTTTGTCCTTGTTTGAAGAGAAGACTGATCACCGGAAAACCCGGGTTTCCGGCACAGATGTAAGCGATCTAACTTTGTATGTGTACACCTGAACAGCATAACAGCTCAGTTCTATTGGAAGATCCTTCCTTTAAGTTTGAGTTGTGATGTATGCGTATGGTTTTCTAGTGTAACTCATATTTTCATTTTTTCTGTTTATGCAATTATGCCGTTTATTTAAAGATGTGATGTATGATGGCATAGTAAAATTGGCTAGAGCTGTCTGCTCATACTTTTGCATCCAAATTCAAATCTCACTCTTCGTAAACCGTAATTTAGATTACATTAGAATATTGCTCGAATAAAAAGAAACAAATGATGCACAATCATTATAAGGTAATTTCTAGGATTTCTAGGGTTCCAAATGTGAGGATGTGAAAAACTGATTCACATTGGAAAGTTAAAAGACTTGCAAGAGTTTATAAGGAGTTGAGCTACTCCTACTATTGCCAATTGTTTTTAAGGAGTTGAGCTCTATGTCACCCCATTTCAATTGTTTATATTAGACTTGAAATTTTGCTACACGTAAAAGGAGATGTGAACAATTGTCCCACATCGCAAATTTAAGAAACTTTGCAACAATGAAACCTCCACTTTCTTCACCAAATTTGATTTGGTATAATGCATATGGAAATGTATATTTGAAGATGCTATACCAAAAATTTTAACTAAATAAATAATCTGGTAGTTTTATGTAACCATACTATTGATAGGCTGTTTTGGCATGCAAATAGTGTTCTTAAGTTTGTTGATTCCCACTATTTTTTGCAGAAGGATAGTGAGAAAGAGAGGGAGCTTGAAGGTGTGTTGAAGGATTTGGCCAATTACAAGGTGCAGCTGGAAGCAAAAGATGCTGCCTACATGCAAGCCCTTCTCAAGCTGCAACACCACCAGTACACAGCAGTTGAACTCTCCGCTCTCCTTGAAAACATCGAGTTTGAGAGAGATAAGTACGTTGAGGAATGTAAAGAGGCTCGGGTACAGATATACAAACTCGAATCCAAGGTAACGGAGATGGCAGATCAGTTGACGGAGACTCTGAAGGTGAGAGAGCAGCTCATGCATGTTTTTAGTGAGTTGAAGGCTACACAAGCAGAGCTGCTTAGCATGGAAACAAAACTCGCGTACGCTAGAGATTCGGAGCTAAAAGCTCTATCGCAAGCAGAGCTGATGGAAACAGCTTTCGTGATGGAAAAAGAGAGGGCAGAAGAGCTTCTTAAACATGTCTCGGAGTTAAGTGAAGCCATGGTTATGTCAAAGGTTGCTGCTAGTGAAGGAGAGAAAGAGAAGTTGGCAATCTTATCTGCGAAAGATGCTGAGTTTGAGGTGGCTATACAGGCTGCTCTTCTAGCGCAGGAGCAGCTTGAAGATTCAAACAAACAAAAGGCAAAGATGGAGGAGTTGGAGGATCAGCTCCTAGCCAAGTCTTCGTTCATTGAGATGCTTCAGTTGGAGATTAAACAGGTGAATGAAAACCTTAGTTTCTCTGAGATGGCGTCTTCTGATGCGATGAATGACTTGAAGCAGCTGGAAAAGGAGTTAGAAGAGAAGGAAAGAAAGATCTCGGATCAGGAAGGTTTCATCAAGGCGCTAGAAATGGAACTGAATCAATTAAAATTGGAGCTTATTGATGCAAATCAAGTGGCCAACAGCCTGAAGCGCGACGTTGAAGTTCTTACTGAGGATTTACAGAAAGCTATTATAGAGCTTGGTGAGATGGCAGAAAGGGAAAACAATGCTCTGGTTGAGATAGCAATGCTGGAATCTGAGCTTCATAGAGGGAGGTCAAAAATTGCAGCAGCAGAGGCAACTGAAGCAAGAGCTGAAAATGTGAAATCGGGGTTGTACCTCGCGATTCAGCAACTAGCAATAGAAGCTGAAACTGCCAAGAACGAAAACAGAATGTTAAAGCAAGGAGCAGATAGCGTAGACGAAGAAACGGACGAACAATCTCCCCTTGTTGATTTTGTTGAGGTTTCCGAAATTGGTGAACAGAAGGAAGAAGCTGAAGAGCGAAAGGATGAGAATGATTACCAAGTAACAATTTCGTTGAAGGAGTACGAGTCCTTGGTTAAGAAGGCTGAGCAGGCTGATCAAATTCCTTTGTCATTGGCGGAAGGCTTTAGCCGTCAGTTCAGCTTCAGCGCCGCGGAAGACAAGTCAGAAAATTTGAAGAAGGAGTTGGAAGCTGCAATGGAAAAGGTTACGCAATTCAGGAACCGGGCTGAGCAGGCTACTACTAGGGCTGATCTCGCTGAGAGAGCGAAGGAAAGACTAGAGGACCAGATAAGGATTCGGCGGGAGGTGAAGCAAAGGAGAAAAGCTGCTCTTGCCGCACTTAGGGAGGTATCTCTTCCTAAACAATTTAGCCCTCCCGAGTACGAATCTCCAGATGAATTTAAGCCTCCTGCACATGAATCTGGAGAAGAATTTATGCCTCACGCATCAGAAGAAACACACAAAAAACGTCTGCAATTGCGTGAGGTACTTAAAATGAAATTCTAGTTGCGATCTTTGTTAAGTTGAGGCCAGTTAATAATTGTTCATGTGAGTAAGGCATAATTGTTCATGTGAGTAAGACATACTGCTTGTTGAATTAATATATTCGGTTATTAATACCAGTTCTTGTTATCTAATGTGTTATTCCTTTGCAAATGTATTCCTTATGCGTTCCGGATCCATTACACGCGTTCGTCTTGTTCATCTTCCTTATTTATATGATATCATTTCCTGTGCTACAAATTTCATTCAAACATATTGAATGATAAGTTTCAAGGGGAGATTTCTGTTCATAAATCTGCATAAAAGCCTTAAAAGAGTGAAATTTGAGTAAATGTTTTCGAAACATGTCGGTTGGAATAGTTGCATTGCTGTTCAAATTTGTATAAAATCATTGAAGAACATGATTACCATCTAAATCATACTTTTTACTTGAACTCGCCATTCTCTAAGTCCGACTAGAGGTTCATGTCCTTGAATCCAAAGTATTTGCCGAAAAAGTTTGTAACATTGTAACAATTTGTCTCGATTTTATCGGAACCAATGGGGGTATTTTCATAAAATTTCACCTTGGGCTAGATATTTTCCTTTTAAAATTGGTTTTTGGATCTTAATTGGTGAGCCCAAGGGGCCCATCCCCTGTTTTGTCCCCCGGTTCCCTTTCCCTTTATTTTATTTTTTTCTTTCTTCTGAAAAGTTTCTTTCTTCTGAAAATTGGTTTTTAGGTCTTAATTGATGAGCCCAAGTGGCGGATGCATTGAGGGGCAGGGAGGGTTAGCTAACCCCCCAAACTTCAGTGAATGTCCATGGATACCTTTGGTGCTGAATCTCTGAATTCGGTGAATGTCCATATATACCTTAGGTGCTGCCCTTTTGAAGATTAGAGTTGGCTTCATACATGCCCTCCAACTGACTTCAGGCCTACCAAGACTCGTGAATGTCCATGGATACCTTGGGTGCTGCCTCTTTCATACATTAACATGTGTGCAATATGTGTTTCCAAATGACTTTAGGTCTATCAAGACTTGATGAAATGGTGATATGTATGCTATTTAGGGTAAAAATTTGCCCGCTATTCTTACTGACCCCCATAATATTATTTCCTGAATCCGCCACTGCCTCGGAGGGCTTTTCTCACTAACAAACAACAACACCATCCTCGAGCTCCCTTCCTGCATCATTGAAACTGGACGAAGGCGAAAGAGTTACCGAGCTTCGGTATGGAGGATGAGCTCCGAAGTCTTTTATCGAATTCCCGTCACAAGGGTAAGTTTCTAAACCCTTTTGATCGTCTTTCCCTCGTAAATGGTTGAAAACTAACCCATTTGTACTTGCTTTAGACGTCAAAACCAAGAAGAACTAGTTTGTGGATACTTCCTCAGTTTTTCGACTAGCATCGACTCTTTCGAGGCAATTTTTGGCCAAACCACGATGAGTTGGCGGCGCGCAGGGTATCAATCTCTTCATCTCGTCGAGTACTACAACTTTCATGTTTGGATCACTTGATTTGGATGAGTAACGAAGAAGTTATGGGCGTTCGAAGTGGTGCCCAGAAACCGGCCAATTCATTGGCTTGAAAACGGGTCAACCTAACCCAAGTCCTTCGAAACCAGCCCAAAACTCATGGGCATCTAGCCCAACCCATGACCCTTTTAAGCCCAAACCCAATTAATTACTCCAGGCCCTTTTATCAACTCAATTCCCTAACCCATTAACCTAGAAACCCAAAACCCTTTAGGCCTAAACCCCTTAGCCCATTTACCTAAACCAACCCAATTTCCTAATTCTAAAACCCAACCCAAAACCCTAAGTGAACTAAGGCCCTTGGGTTGTGTAAAGCATGGACCCAAGCTCAAAAACCCAAGGGCCCTTCAGCCCAAACCCTCCAGCCTATCAAACGGAATATTCTTGGAATATTTCCCTGTTGACTTATGTTGATTTTTCAAAAATTTAACCGGGACCTTTCTTAGGGTAATTCGACTTCCTGAATCCGTTTCTGAAGTCTGTTTTCCCAAATTCAATTGTTATAATATAATTTTATTAATTGGACCCTTTATGTGCTTAGGAGCAATTATTATAGCGTTTTCGTGTTTGCTAGTTTGCGTGGCTCTTCGGTGACTAAGTATCTGTGAGTGGACCCCTTCTAAAATGCATGTTTTAATAGTAGAAATGTATATATGGAAAATCATGATTTAACAATTATGTTCTACGAAATGCTTGGAGATAACATGCTTACTGAGGCTAGATTGAATTACTACTATTTTTCCTATAACTCGTGTTCTTTATAGAATATCTGATGGATGACGATATAATATTTAGAACATGTTTCGAACACTTCTTTATAGTACAAATGATGAATGACTTTATACTATGAAGATGCTTTTCATATATATATGTTCAATGGTTTTGTATTTACCTAGTGGTCCTAATTCCTCTACGGGGCGAAGGATAGATTATGGTCAGTCCCGGGCGACGGTTATGGTGTTGGCATAGGGCTTGAAGTGTTTTTCCTCTAGCAATTTGCACAAGGATGGGGAGCTTGCACGGGGCCTGGGGGTTATTTTCCTCTAACAACTGGCTCAAAGACGAGGAGTTGGCATGGGGCCTGGGGGTTATCGAACATTCACTAGTGATTACTATATATACAAGATATGTTTTGAGACATTGCACGACATGCTAGGTTTCGAAAAACCTATTTTTATCATGATATATGAATTTTCATAAACCCTGGGGGTTAGTATGTTGATAACTATTTTATTATATCTATATCAACTTGGTCCACTCATGTTTGTTTTGCGTCCTTTTCAAGACTTAGAATCGAGGCATACAATCCTGGCGTTAAGACACTTCCGCATCGGCATCTTCGAGTCCTCTCGGTGTAAGACCCATTCCTTTGTTCATTCAATTTTTATATTAATTCTTTTAGTGTTGTAGATTAGATGTGTGCTCTGAACACGTTCCTTAAATGCATATTCTTTATTCTTTTATATTTATATGTCTTTTCTATCCCTTATTTTCAGCATTGGCGCTCAATAAATGGTTTTCGTCACCCTTGGGTGTCGGCTAGCTCATGCCTATCCTGGTATTTGGGGACCATCGGGATCGGGGCGTGTCAAACATACTGCACAATGTGTCGCATTGAGCAACCCTAGCACATGATATTTTGAAACCATAAGGGATTTTCTTTCTTTCTTAACAAACGATATTATCTACATTAAAGGGGAGGAGGGCTAGCAATAATGTGGTTCAAATTCGTATTTGACGAGAATCAAACCTAAGACCTCTCACTTACAAGTGAAGAGGCATACCACTAGAGTCTAGACCGTAGTACTAAGTGACAACCCCATAAGTGAAATTTAAGCACGAATAGATTCAATGTGAGGAATACGAATTATCAAAACTTAAAACCGATGTGGCCAGGTTTTAGGTTTCTAGCTGTAAGCTTAGCACCACATAGTTGATAGGAGTAATGCTTAAATATTGATATTCAAATTTATGGAAATATCGATGAATATATCGATATCGGTTGTTGACTTCTATAGAAATTTGCAATGGGTGGGTATATCAACTCGTTTAAATTTAGTCGAAATTAGAGAAAAATTTCTCAAAAAAAAATTCATAAGTTCGAAATATGTAATGGGTTCCAGTAAATTTTGTATTGAATCAGTAAATATCATTGATATTTATTGATTTTTCTACATCTCGCCAATATAGGATAAAGTTTGCATTTCACACCCTCTGTCCATATCGACTCTTGATTTTTCAGATATTTCGACAAAAATATCATCAATTTCGTAAATATTTTTAACACTGAATAGGAGAAATAGTGGGAACCTGTGAGCTTATTTTTCCCCACATACTCCTATTGACGTCAAGTCTTTAAATAAAGTTTGAATTTGAAGGATTTGGAGTGCATTTTCCAGACCAGAAGAAGGGTCTGAAGTTTCTGTACACGGGTGGCGTGGGAATTGTTATACATGCTTTGACCAGAGATTAGCATTAATAATCTTATAATTAATGTACTAATTGTATTGTATTTGACTGGAATAGTCGTAACCCTGCTATCGTGGTGAGGACTAAGGAAAAAGAAAAGTCTTTGAGTATAGCTTTGAAGTCGAATATTTGAAAGTGAGGTGATTTTGCACGTCTTTTTGAACTTCTTACACAATTCTTTCATTTTTAATCATTAAATTGAATAAAGTAAATAAAAATGACGGGGAAGATTAAATAGTGTGAACGTTAAAAAGAATGTATGTTATCATTTCCCTATTTTGAAGCAATGCATTTGCATCTGCCTTGTATTGGTATTACTCTTTATAGGCAAAAAGTCAAAAATTAATTGGTCCATTTCTACCCAAATTCTCACTTCTACTGTGATATTTAGGAGCTAAAATTGTCTGCACTCAAAATTCTCTATGGTATCTCTGTGATCTATGTAAGATTTAAATGAATGAGATAGGTCACAAAAATGCTACATATAGAGTTTTGAATGAAGAATATTTGAACTCGATAGTTAGTCTAATATTTAATTTGAAGTCGGTTTGAATCCAGGAGTGAGTTGCTAGCCATTATAGTCTTTATGTTCATTCTTCCAACTTGATCAATTGCAATAAGCGTTAATTAATTAATAGTTTCAAAGAACTTAATTTGTTGCAAGCCAGTAGTTAAGACTTGAGCTTGCATGGTTAATTACCTTGTAATTTCATTTTACATAATTAACTAACAAATACCTGCAAGTTGGGGGTGCATGCACTCCCTATAAGCGTGTGAGATTTTATTTTAAGTATAAATAAATTCCCTTTCTATGCATCTAATTACTATGATCTTGTTGGAGAGATTTTTAATGTGCTCGAAATATGACGCGGTATGCTATATGTTATTATACAAGTAGAGAAAAATTCTTTCAAGCATCCATCTCCTTGTATAATGACATACAACGTATGTGCCTGTATTTTGAGCACACTGAATTTTGTTTTCTTTCTTTGGTTTTTATTTTTCGACCTCAGTCCAAAATCCCATTTTTGCATGCGAATAATTAAATGGCCAACAACCATCCAAATTCAAAACCCAATTAAGTATCTTTTAGAATATTTGGCTGAGAGCATAAAAGTAAATGGAGCTCCAAATTTTATATGATTAAAATCTCTAAACTCATCACAATGATTCATATAAATATAAGAGTTAAAGAACCCATTTTATGTACGTCCAAATTCGATTACATCATCACTAGTAAAGGATAAGTGTTTCAATTTTGTTTTCATTGTGTTGATGTCACGCCCTTGAATTATTTAGTTTATATTTGTCAATTTATGCAAGCAAATTAGAAAAGAGCTTCCTATTGTGCAACAGATGGGAGTGTTCATTTTCCCTACCACTACAAAAAAAAAAAAAAAAATCCCTTGGCAGATGAAATAAATTTGTCAGGTCAAATGAGGTTTCGTCGCTTAAAATTTGAAGTGACGAATATCTATCGGAAAAGGTCAACCCAAAAGTCGTCACTCGAAATAAACTTATTCGTCATGCAAACTAGTTTGCCCAACGAAAAAAGTCGTCAAGTAAAGGAGCGTCAACTGACTTTACCCGACAATGCATCTTGCTCGACGAACTGTATTTCGTCACACAAAACCTTTGGGAAAACCATATTTGTTGACCAGTTTTGCCCAACAAACACAAAATTTTGTCGGACAAACTCACTTTGCCCGACAAAATATAGTTCATCAGGCTAAATTTTGTCATGGTAAATAGTATTTTCTGGTAGTATTGTTATCAAACTTATTATATGCTTGAGCTTGACTCTATTGTGCTTGCCACTTTCTATTACTTATCTTATTTATTTGTATGATTTGAAAGGTTCTTTTCATGTTCTTTGTTCCTTTGCTGCGATAGGAATAGTGATCACAACGATACATTCTCACCACAACAAAAATGGCCATTGCGCACAATAAATTATTTATGCCCTTTGAGGCAAAAAAAGAACCAACAATTGTGCTCATAGACCCATAGCAACAGTGCAGCTGCTATCTTTATGTATGTGCCCTCTATGGGCATCATTATTACTGATAGCACATAATATGATGTTTTGTGCTCAAAGAGGCTGGCACAAATGGGCCACTATTTGTGCCTCGTTTCTGGCAACTTTCAGATAACCTTTTCCAAGTTGGCACTTCATATTGTAATTGTGCCAACATGAATTAAATATTAAAAAAAATTGAGGAAATGAAATTTTTTAATTTTCTTAAAATGAAAAGGCCTACAACACATTCCCAATCTCACAAACATAATGTGATGTTACATATTTTATCTCTAATACAATAAAACTTGAAAGCACATATTTTTGGACATATGCATTTTCCCCAACAAGCCTTGCACCTCATCATAGCCATAACAGATATAGTCGAATTCAAAACAAAATTAGTCCACAATTAACACCTAAAAAGGAGTTAGTTAAAATCAATATGTACGAGTTCCAGATCTGCCATATCAAAGATTCATATTCCTCACTCCAGGTTGTAAAAGGGTTTGAGACAACACATTTCTTCAGCTTATAGTCACCTAAATTGAAAAAATATGCAAGTTTGCATATTATTTAGGGTCAAAGTGAGTTGCTTATTTTAATGACATATCTAGTATACATCATCAATAAACCTGCAATTTTAAAGGAGAAAATGAATCTTAACTGTTGGAAACAATGGATAAATAGAATATTCACAAATATACAACTAAACAATGGAGAAAATGAGTCTTAATTGTCGGTGATACTTAAATCTTCAAAGCGTGGAACGTCGAAATAGGGAGGCCAGCTTGCTGGTACTTCCAAATCTCTGGTAACAAGACACACAAACAAAAGCCGATACTCTTTAGTCTTTAGTAAGAATAATTAAAGAAAAAAGTGCATCTTATATACAATTCCAAGAAGACATGGTATAACTAGAATGCAAAACAGTAAACCCCTCAAGCCATTTCTCCTTGCAGAGATTGATAAAAGCATTTGCATATCTTCTAAAGATACCATCCAATCGATCCACCAAAATATCAATATCTTGTAGTTCAAGCAATTAAACTATGGGTAGGGCAAAAACAAGCTTTTATGATTTAGTTCTACAAACTGATTCATACAGATAATGAAACCAATAATTCCTAATAACATTGCATTTGAATTCGTCGGAAGCCAAACAACCTTCCACCACCACAGATAACACAGTATTGACATCCCCTGCTCTGACAGCCTCTAAAAAATGACCATGAGTAAGAAATATATCAAGCAGCAAAATACATTATCACATTGGATATCACTGAAAAAATGAACTATAAATTTAGACTACCAAGAAGCTCTTGAAAATGAAGGTGACATCATTTACACAGAGCAACAAGAATGAGTATGTAATGGCTTCCAAATTTTTAAATCATGATTCCTTTTCTTTACCTGATCAGATGCTATATATCCTTCACCCCACATATGAATTGGTGTAATTCTGCTATGTATACATGCACTCGTTCGTGATTGAAACATAATGACTTTTGCCAGACACTTTAGTAACATTTTTAATTTCTTCATGCATGGCAATCAATCTTCACACAGATTAACACATGAAAAAAGCAATCCACAGTCCCAATAATGCGATTCTACCTCTTTCGAATGTAGAATAAAAGAGAAATGCAAAAAAAATATCTCAAAATAGGTCATTTCCTACAACATATAACAAACAAGAATTTTAGGAACTTAGGAGATAATTAGTAATTGGTCTGGAGTTTAATTGATAGAACACATAAGTGTAATGGAAAAAAAATGCACATCTCGTCATGGGCATCACAATTAACTGTAATACATTGACAAATTTTCACATTCAATGATAATGACGTTATCCTATAGTCAAATTGAAACTTCCCCAAAAGAAACCTAATGTAAATTACCTAAATCAGAGTCAGATTTGGGCAAAAAAATTAGGGAATATCTTCTATAGTCAAATTGAAACTTCCCCAAAAGAAACCCAATTAAAAACAGTCAAGAAATGAAGATTTACATAATTTAATTATCACATAAATACCAGTCAGCGATCATGAATTCGAAACAAGAAATACTAAAACAAAGTAGTACCTAGAAACCAAAACACATTAAAATTGAAAAATCTTAGAAAAAGATTACCTGATTTTACCAACGCGATTTCCGATTGAGGCTCTACATCCACCGATCTTCCCAAACCCGACCCACCCCCTCCACATAAGTGTTCATTTACATAGAGAAATTGCATGTAAACATACAATATTTTAAATTTCATATAATTTTATGAGAACCACAAATCAGACACAAATATATACTTATAAGTTATAACCAAACATTATGAGGGGTATTCTCAGCTTGATGGTAAATAGAATATATTTGTACTATATATGAACACTTGGAATTTACAGGTTACCCACATGCACAACACATTCATCAACTACCATCATGCATTCCAGGACAACAAAGTGGAACCAGGCGCCCCAAACGAAAATAAGACAATTAACTACTTCAAGTTTAAACGAGTAAAACGGATGTGAATCTTTTCATAAGCTCTTCCATAAACTTCCATAAGCTACTTGTGACACTAGGATGAATTTAAGCAAAAAGACAATCCAATCTTTGACATGCATACAAAAAAAAAAGGAAAACTAATGAAAAGGGTTTGAAAACTTTGAGTTTTAATGATAAGGACAAAATAAAGGGTAAAGTGAATAGTATCGGATTGACTTTTTAGTGTAAAAATGTGGTTTTCATTAAAGTGAACAGTACCATGAGTTTTTCGTTAAAGTTCCCAAAAAAAAATCCATATGTGGGTAGGTCTAATTCTTCTCAGCCCAGGTTGGAAACAAACTTGATTCACCTTCCTCGTCCCAATCTTTGACATGCATACAGAAAATGGATTTAAAATTCAAAATCTAGAATCGACCCCAAAACTAAAAGTTTTTATTTTGGAAAAGAACTTACAGTGGAGGACAGCCCACAAGGAAAGGATCATTTTTACCTCTTGGGTCGAGGTCCGATTCCGGCAGGTTTGGCCGAAAATTTGTTGGAAAATCCATGGCCACCGCTTCTTAGATCTGAAATTGACGAAATTCGGCTACGAATTTGTAGAAACTAACTTGGGGGGGGGGGTTGGAAAGAGGACGTGAAGAGGATTTTGGAGGTTTAATTTGACGGTCGTTGGTGGCCAGTGGACAGCTTGCGTGAAAGAGGAGAGAGAGAGAGGACGAAGGGGGAAAGGAGGAGAGGGAAAATGAGGGGAAAGAGAGGAGTTGGACGTTTGTGAAGGGAAGAGAGATATTTTTTAAGTTTTTCATATTTTTTTATAAATGTATTTAACTTATCCTATCTGAAATATGAAGGCATGTACAATACAAACCTCCTTTAGTTTCCTTGCTTGCCCCATAAAAATCCTAAAAGTAAATATGTAAGGACACAAAACTTACTTTTTATTTAAATATATTAAACTAGAGGGCACAATAACCTTTGTCGTGTTTTTGCAAATTAATAAAAAAATTCCAAGTCTGACACATGCAAGGCTGGATGGACATACATTGCTGCTGACAAATATATTTTATAGACACAAAATGCTTTTTGTGCCCATCTTCAATAAAAAAGTTGTCATCTGACCCTACTCGGCATCGTTTCCGTGCCCATTACTGTTTTGTGTCTTTTTTTTTATTTAACATTGGGCACCATAGATGGAGCCCTCTATGGAATTGGAACTATTTAAGCTTTTTAGTGGTCAAACTGACACAAAATTCTCAATTGTGCTCTTTATTTTGTACCCAAAGTTCATTTTTGTTGTAGTGTCTGCCTTATAATTAGGATATATCTAGCATATATAAGGCAGAGCCAGTGCATATGTCAATGAAACATATGCCCCTCTCAAATGTTATTGTATAATATTATGTTTGTATAAATATTACAACTTCCTTCAAAACTCTGAAGTGCCATATCTCACTTTCCATCATTAAAATTCTTTATGAGTTGCATATATTTTGTTTTCTCAATGAGTATTAGCCTATTTCGTTCAATAACTGAAGAAAGAAAAAGTGGACAAAAGAGACCAAATTAGGGAGTACTAATTAAAATTAGATTAACAATCACTAAGAAATAGCTTGAGAATATTGAGATGTCCTATTTGAATTGAGTTCCTCTTTAATCTCTATGTCATGAACTCAAAAATTCAGATCATTCAATTTAAATCATATTTCTCTTTCTTCTATCATCATCATCTTAAAATTTGCAAATTATTGAACAAAAAACATCATGTTAAAATTCTACGACTCTCACCAAACAAAGAATGTAATATATACTGTTTCCACACAAAAAAAAAGAATGTAATATATACTAATATATAAATATATAGTTGACAAAAATGAGTCTTCCACTTTGACTTTGAACCTTATTCACATCCCACGAGTACATCAGATGGAATAGTTCCCTTTCCCCGGAAGCCAAATCCAAGATCACGACCTCTAGCCGACACACACATGCCTTTGAAAACCACCCAAGCACAGAGACCTGTTTCCATAGATTCCTAATCCTGGATTAGAAACTAATTAACCCATGAAAAATGAAAAACAAATAAAAAAACCATGTCCTTAGACGGGTTAATTTTGTTCCTAAAGATTTACAGATTTGCAACAGCAGTTTATAAGAACCCCAGCTTTATGTCATTTTCTTGATTACTTTTCTGTCTGGTCTGTCTGGGAATTTTTCAATTGTTTTGTGTAATACAGTACTGGCATTAGGGCTTTTTGGTTTGATATTTATTCCCCAAAACGCAAGTTAAACAAGCATATATTCTTTACGCCAATTGTTTCAAAATCCATCTTCAAATGTAAAACAGCCCTAATTGACCAGCTTTATCAATGTCTTGAATTTTTTTATTTTTTATTTTTTTACCAAAAATTGGATTGCACGGGAAAAACGACCAACAAACATATGTGACCCTTCTCTCATAGTAAGGGTCCCATATATTAGATCTAGAAGTTGTTGGGGAAATACATAAATGGCTTTGAATATTTGCAAGCTCAATGTTACAAAAAAAGAAGAAGGTATTAGTTATATCATAAACAACCAAAGATTGTGACTCTTTTGACCATATCATTGTTGTTGGCTTCTAAGTTTTGGACAAGGATCTCTCCATGGTTTTGGGACTTCATATTTTAGTCTTGCTAAATAGTTGAAGAATGTGAGTGGCTAGTTGATCGAGTGATTGAGCTGATTAATCGACCGAATTGTTCTCACATTCCGCAACTATATAGCTTGCAAGATATGCACTTGAGAAACCGTTCACGACAAAAAAAATTAGTGTAACGCATTTCATTTTCGTTATATGTATATTAATAAAATAATTATTTCATGTTCGTTTTTATAATTTTGTTAGGTGAGCCACCACCATAACACACGTAAGTTGTAACCCTTATGTTAATAAAGGCTCTAATCTGCATATTCAAAGTTTTGTATAAAATTCAAAACTATTTTGTTGTAAGACTAATGCATATTACAACATTTATTCGTAATGAAAGTTAATTAGAAGAGTAAGGCTAAGTAGATCAACTTTTTAGACTAAATTTGTAAATCATATAGTGTATTACCAACAAAAATTATACACGTTAATCAACACCTAAGTGATAATTCAATCATTAGCAATCATGTCATATGGTTAAATACATGAGAGATTTTTTAGTGTGGAGGGAAGTTTTTTTTTTTTTTTTTTTCTAATGTCCCTCTCTAATTGTATAATGACATATAATGTTCCACTCCATATTCCAAACACACTTGAAAATATCTTTATGTAGATGGTTTCCTAGCATTGGAGTTTAATCAACAGGCAGGAAACGGGCCTAACTCAACTTCTATATGGATACAATTTGAGAGTATTAAGGATAATAATTTTCTAAACGGTTTTGCATCAAATTCCAAAACCATGGGTGCCCTTCGACTTTGAAGAATATTATTCTTTTAAGGGGTGTAGTCAACTTGGATTTAAGAGGACTTTAATAGATTTTTTTCAAGTGACAGATTTGAAAGGATTTTAATAGACTTTACAATTCTACATGGATTTTAGCTGATTTATATAGATTTCCATATAGATTTGTATGGATTTGTATGGACTGTATTCCATGGATTTCTTAGAATTTTCAAAAAGAAAATAATTTTTTATGTCAAAAAAAATTAAATAAAAAAGAGTGATTTCATCCCTTCAATTAACAAAAATTCAAGAAATCTCTTTCTTCCTCTGCCCATTTTCCTCTCTTGTGTGCCTTTCAATGACTTCCTAAGAGAGTGCCTTCCAATGGCTGAAGCACCAATAGCCAATAGTACCAAAGAAAATTCGATACATAAAAAGCCCTAGCTTTGGCACGAAAAGGTGAAGCTATTTTTTAAGTTATTTTCTATGCAATTTTAAGTGCGTATTGAATTTCTTAGAAATGTTGGGCAAGTTGGAATCTCGTCATTTGGAAAAATGGAGGTTTTAGTTGGTTTTTGTGAAGTGGGTTTTGGATTGGAATATGGGTTGTGATATTGGCTTGGTCAATTTTGATGATTTGAGTGTGAATGGATCCAAAAGGCTGCCACAAAATTCTTGCTCTACATCTTCTTCTCTGCAATCACCTTGGCCTACTCTGTATTGCAATTCATCACCTTGGATTTTGTTTGTTTATAGTTTGAACAGTGAGGTTGAAAGCAATGGTAGGGAAGGGAGGGACGAGGAAGATGAATGTTCATCTTCTGTGGTTGCATGAAAAGAAATCTGAGGGGGGAGGGTTGGATCCTTGATGCTCTTTGGTAAATATATCACCCACCTTCAAATCCATCTAAATCCTTCACTTATTAAAATCCTAACAAATCTTTGACATTTTCACTACACTTGAATTTAGATGTATTCTTTAAAATTGTAATTGACTACTTCTGGATTTTGATATATTCTTTAAAATCCTTTAAAATCCTTTAAAATCCTAATTTGACTACACTATGATTTCAAAGTCCTTTAAAATCATTTTTTAAAATCTAATTGACTACACCCGGATTTTGAAGTCTATTAAAATCCTATCAAATCGTAATTTGACTACACCCTCCTTAGTAATTTTGTTTTGGATTAGTATTACGGTCTAGTGGTATTCATCTTCATTTGTAAGTGAGAGGTTTTAGGTTCGATTCTCGTCAAAGACGAATATGAACCACATCATTGCTAGCTCATTGAGAGGCTAAGCCCAACCCTCTCCCTCTTAGTGTATACTATCGTTTGTTTCAAAAAAAAAACAAAGATTCAAGTAAAACATGCTAAACAACAAAAATGGTATGGTTGTTAAAAAACAAAGATTCATATAGACATGGACATCACGCTCTTCTATTCTGCCTGTCTTTTTCTCTCCCGAGTCAAAACCCAACGCCGGTTTAATCAAACCGGTCAACATGGGCGGCTCAACGGCCCCAGTAGACTCCATTAGCAGAGAGTTTTTAAGCTAATCAACGCGATCAAGCAAGATCTTTCATAGCCAATAATTAATTTGTAATTATAATTAAATCACTGAAATAAAATAAATTCAAAAGAAAAATTCCTTGTTCCAAATTTTGGTTTCGTGTGTGTATGTATTGCAGGCTGTGTAGTCTTCAGAAACATTCCTCCGACATGTTCAACCTTCAAACATTCTTCACCTGTAAATAAATAAAAAAAAATTCTTTAATCTCCACGAACACATTTGTCATTCGATTGTAGCGCCTAATCAAGATTCAAGATCGAAGTTTTGCAAGTAACGAGCGGAGCGAAAAAAACTTTGTATCATGTACTTATCAACTTCGAAAACTGGTTCATGGGGTGCGGTGTGTTCAATATTCTTGGTCTTAGACGTGATCATGATCACAGGTACTTGCTCCAACATGTTGCAGATTTCTGAAACAATCTTTGTTGTGGGTACTTTTGTTTTCGATTTTAAATTAACCCCCTTGATCGTTTTCCGAGGATGATTTTGTTTGGATTTAGTTTTTCGAGGATGATTGTGTTACGTTTAATGAAAAAGTACAACTGTGTGTTTCGAGGATGATTGTTATGTAATTTACTAGGTTGCTGGATCGACTCTGAAATCTTAACAACTTTTTCGTCTTTTTGCAGGTGCTTCCGTTGTAGCCGGAGATTCTCTGGACACAGACAGAGAAGTTCTGCTGAGCCTCAAAGCATTTCTGCAGCAAAAGAACCGCGTAAACCAAGGAATATACTCGCAGTGGAACCAGCGCAGCAGCAACCCCTGCGAGTGGCTCGGAATTTCGTGCAGCAATGACAGCAAGAGAGTTAGCCGTGTTGAGCTCTCCGACCAAAAAATCACCGGTGAGATTTTCCGAAACTTCTCTGCCCTTACAGCACTTTCGTACCTCGACCTCTCGAAGAACACAATAAGCGGAGCACTCCTGGAGGACTTGAGTCAATGCCACAGCCTCAGACACCTCAATTTGTCACATAACATTATTGATGGCGAGCTGAACTTGAATGGTTTGAATCAGTTGGAGGTTCTTGATTTGACTGTCAATAGATTTTACGGCGATTTGAAGATGACCTTTCCCGGAGTTTGCAGTAACCTAGTGGTTGCGAATCTTTCAGCGAATAATTTCACCGGAAGGATTGATAACCTGTTTGATGAATGCTACAATTTGCGGTACTTGGATTTGAGCTCAAACTATCTTAGTGGTGAGATATGGAGTGGATTCATCAGGCTTACGGCGTTTTCAATATCCGAAAACTATTTCAGTGGCGCTATTTCGCCTTCTGTTTTCACAAATAATTGTAGCCTGGTAGCTTTGGACTTGTCAGTAAACAGTTTTTCTGGTGCAGTTCCTGCAGAGATTTCGAAATGCCAGAGACTGATCATATTGAATCTTTGGGGGAACCATTTTACGGGGCCAATCCCGCCTGAGATTGGATCAATTTCGGGACTGCAGGGCTTGTTCTTGGGTAACAACAGTTTTTCTAGAGATATTCCTGAATCCCTTTTGGATTTGAGCAGCTTGACATTCTTGGATTTGAGCAGGAACAACTTTCGCGGCAAGATACAAGACATTTTTGGGAGATTCAGACAGGTGAAGTTTATTTTGCTGCACTCAAACGGGTACACCGGTGGGATCCATTCGTCTGGGATTCTCAAGCTACCAAATGTTTCCAGGTTAGACCTCAGCCACAACAATTTTACAGGTCCTCTGCCACTCGAAATTTCTCTGCCGAAGTTGAAGTTATTTGTCCTCGCCTTTAATCAATTCAGCGGAACTATACCACCGGGCTATGGAAACATTTCGACCCTCCAAGCCCTGGACCTTTCCTTCAACAGCCTAACCGGTGCAATTCCTAGCACCCTCGGAAACTTGAGCTCTCTCTTGTGGTTGATGCTTGCCAACAATTCCCTAACCGGTCCAATTCCACACGAATTGGGAAATTGTAGAAGCTTGCTGTGGCTTAATCTCGCGAATAACAAGCTCTCCGGGCCAATCCCATCTCAGCTAACAATGATTGGGAGAAATGTTCAGCCAACATTCGACATGAATAATCGGGACAATGATCAGATCATAGCGGGATCAGGCGAATGCTTAGCGATGAAGAGATGGATTCCTGCAGATTACCCACCATTCAATTTCGTGTACACGATCCTGACTAGGAAGAGTTGTCGAAGCATATGGGACCGGCTGCTTAAAGGAAAAGGCCTATTTCCCATATGTGCAGCTGGCTCTTATGTACGGACACTTCAAATCTCGGGTTACGTTCAACTGAGTGGGAATCAGCTTTCGGGTCAGCTCCCTGCAGATATCGGTACAATGAGCAATTTTAGCATGATAAATTTGGGTGTCAATAGATTCCAAGGCGAACTCCCTGCAAATATTGGTCAGTTGCCACTTGTAGTGTTCAACATCAGCAGGAACAATTTTTCGGGTCAAATTCCAGAGGAGATTGGGAATATTAAGTGCATGCAGAATCTTGATATGTCATATAACAATTTTTCTGGCACGTTTCCTCTGAGCCTGAACGGCTTGAATGAGCTAAGTAAGTTCAACATTTCGTACAATCCGCTCATTTCCGGCATAATTCCTTCGATCGGGCAGTTGGCAACGTTCGAGAAAGAGTCCTATCTCGGTAACCCCCTTCTGCAGCTTCCCGAATTCATCCACAACTCCACGTATCCAGAAAACAAAACGAAAGGGAATCCGAAAAAGCCTACAAAATCTGCTGCACTTATGGTGGTCTTCGGTTTGCTAATTGCTCTCTTAATCTGTGGAGTTTTGTCACTTGTAGCATGCTTATTCGGAAAGAGCCGGCCACAGCCCCCAGCATGCTTGTTGCAGGACATCAAATACCGGCATGACTTGGCCTCGAGCTCTAGCAGTTCATCCCCGTGGCTGTCGGATACTGTTAAGATCATTCGTTTGGACAAAATGGCTTTTACACATGCTGACATTTTGAAAGCTACACGCAATTTTTCGGAAGATAGGATTATTGGGAGTGGAGGGTTTGGGACAGTGTACCAAGGAGTATTGCAGGATGGGAGAGTAGTAGCGGTGAAGAAGCTTCAAAGAGAAGGACTCGAAGGTGAAAGGGAGTTCCGAGCTGAAATGGAGGTTCTTAGTGGGAATGGCATTGGCTGGCCTCACCCAAACCTTGTAACTCTTCACGGCTGGTGCCTTTATGGATCCGAAAAAATACTAGTCTACGAGTACATGGAAGGCGGGACCTTGGAGGATTTGATATCTGATAGAGTGAGACTGACATGGCGAAGGCGAGTTGATGTGGCAGTTGACGTGGCTCGAGCCTTGGTGTTTCTACACCACGAGTGCTTCCCTTCCATCGTGCACCGCGATGTAAAGGCGAGCAATGTGCTGCTAGATAAGGATGGAAAGGCGAGAGTTACAGATTTCGGGCTTGCCAGAATAGTGGATGCAGGGGATAGTCATGTGAGCACAATGGTGGCGGGGACTGTTGGTTATGTCGCTCCCGAATATGGGCAGACATGGCAAGCCACGACGAAAGGAGACGTGTACAGCTACGGAGTTCTGGCAATGGAATTGGCGACCGGAAGGAGAGCGGTGGATGGAGGAGAGGAGTGCCTTGTGGAATGGGCAAGGAGGGTAATGGGAAATGGACGGCAAGGATTCAACCAGTCTGTGATACCGGTTATGCTCATGGGGTCCGGGCTGGCCGATGGGGCGGAGGAGATGTGCGAGCTGCTTAAGGTGGGCATAAAGTGCACGGCGGAGGCACCGCAGTCAAGGCCAAACATGAAGGAGGTTCTAGCTATGCTGCTCAAGATATATAAAGATGAAAACATATATAGTTTACAAAGTAACTAATTTTTATACTCAGATTGTGTTTATGTAATTCTTTCTGTAAAGAATCGAATCAATTGTGTCCATAATTAAACCAAATGAAATCATCTTCCCCCTACCTTCAAATTGCAATGCATTGATCTAATTAAAAATTAAGAATAAATTGTAGTAATGGTTTCTCAATTTTAACTCAATTAGAGTAGTGGTTCCTCAACTAAAAACTCATTACCATTGGTCCCTCAACTCATCAAAACGTGCAACTATGGTCCTTATCGAACTTCCGTCAAAATGAATCACGTGACATGCACGTGAGGTTGAATCAAAGGGCAAATATGGAAAATCAAATAAGAAAAATTCTATCAATAGTCCTCAACTTTAATTCAACTAGAGAAATGGTCCATCAACTTTAATCCAATTAGAGTAATGCTCCCTCAACTTCAACCCAATTGTAGCAATGGTCATTCCAACGTAACTCATTTTGACAGAATCCTGATGGAGTTGACAAAAATAATCATAGCTACATGTTTTGATGAGTTGAGAGACCAATGGTAATAGATTTTTAGTTGAGGGACCATTACTCTAATTTGGTTAAAGTTGAGGGATCATTGGTACAATTTACTCAAAAATTAATCATTGATTAATGACATGTTTACTTGCTTTAGTAATATGGAAGACAATGTCTTGAACAGAAACAGAGCATATGATATATCATCAAGTAAGTCCCCTATGAGAGAACACAAGCAAGTCCCACATGAAAGAACACAAGGAATATCCTTAAAATTTTGAAAAGTAAAACAAACGAACGAACAAATATATTACAAACTACGAATATTCTTTGATTAATGAAAAAACAAAGAAAAAAGAACTGCCGAGATGACTACATTTAGAGACTACATTGTGACCAACTTAAATGAACAACAAACATCTTATGTATAATAAACTAAACCCTAACCTCTAAATGAAAACCTAATTCTAACGTGTTGGACCCAAACCCTAAACTTATTATTTTTGGAAAAGAAAAAAAAACAACGTATATTTTTCCATGTCTATGAAAAGAGTATGAAGACCATAAATATTTTACAAAAATACATACGTATATTAATATATATGTTATACTCTAATATAGATTGTCACGATGGTCCTCCCAAATTTTTTTTTTAACAAATGATAATATAACTAATACTAAACCATTTAAATTACAAGAAAGATTGGAACATGGAACCTCAAGTTTACAAGCAAATATTTTTAACAAATTGATCTAACACGCCACTTGCCTCTCAAAGTTAATTTAATTTTTATCTTTTGTTATCTTAAAACAGAAGAAGGGTGGCTTGTAGTTCAATGACTACAGTCTCTGCCACGTCTTGTATCAAAACTCTTGTCCCTTTATTTACCTTCAACAGAAAGCAAAAAGAAAATCTCAAGTTCCCTTTCCTTGTTTCTTATTTTAAAAAGCTTCGTCAGAACCCGGTAAGTGATGTTTTTACTTTTGAAATTCTTTTTATAAACAATAGCGTTAGTGGGTTAAATTGTTAAATTTTAAAGAGGAGAGAAATCGATGGAGACCAAACCTGCACCAATAGAGAATGCCTACAAATTATTGTTCAGCAATTAACACAACAATTCTCAACATTTGTGGAAGAGTAAAATAGGTAAAACAAAAGAGAAAACTTTCCTCAAAAAAAACAAAAAACAAAAGAGAAATTTGTAAGTTGTTATGATTCAACACTATTAAAAGTAAATGGATTGTCTGCCCTCCCATCCTATACTCTCTGCATGCCCTCTTATTTTTGTAGTCACGGTTAAGCCACGTCAACATTTTATATTCTAATTGTTTTTTGTCTTATTATTTTTATAAAAAAATCAATATAAACTATTAACATGACTTAACCGTGACCACAGAATATAGAAGGGCATAAGAAGAGTATGGTATGGGGAGGGCAGACAATCCAAGTCCCTATTAAAAGGGAAAGTTTGCTTAGGTGGATGAATGGTCACAAGATTCTTTTTATAATAGGAAATTACAGTATATTTAATTGTATTAAAATACATAGGCACATGCCACATAACATGGTTTACCCAAATTAATTTTATTGCTTGATTGAGAAGGAATAATTCAAGTCCTCCGAGGAACTTCACACTTTTCTACTCCTATATATACATATCCTTCTGATCAGTCCTCTCTTGCCAGAAAACTCATTGGAAGAATCCAGTCATCAAATTACATAACTTCCAACGACGCCATGGCTGCCAAGATCTCCTCCCCCTCCTCCTCCTACGGCAATCCCTGCCTTGATCTGTTTTTCCATGTAACACAAAAATACTTCGAGGATGACACCGAGCAGGCCTCACACAATTCCCGTTTGCTTAACTATCTGAAGCAACTTCTGCCCTTGGCCTGGTCTCACAATCCCCTAATCACACCCAAGCTCATAAGCAACCTCGACTCTGGAAAACTTTATGATGAAGCGTTCTTCTCCGCCGTGTTTTGGCTCCACCACAACCACCCAAAGACTCTACTATGTAACGTTTCATTTAAAGACTCGTATGTCCTTATTGACATTCTCTACAGCCTTTTGGAAGGCCAAGATGCCGCTGAGAGGCTGCGCAGAGATCCGGATTACAAGCTGTTGCATGACCGGGTGATGGATCTTTTCGTGGAGAGGTTGAAGTCTGATATTGAAAAGTTGAAGCAGAACAAGCTGAAACTCAAGTTGAATGATGATGTTGGCAATGATATTGATGATGATGTTTTCGTTACTGAGGCTGCAGCGTGGTGCATTAGCACATGCCCCTCGGTAACCAAAGCCACCCGCGCTGTTTTGCTGCGTGAAAGCGTTGAGAGAAGGCTTTTCTCTCCAGAATCATCAGTTCATTCAAAAGAGTGGAAGCGGCTGACGAAGGAGGTTTTGGAGCCCTTGACCAAATACTACAACCGTCAAGGCATTGCTGGACACAAGCGCCGTGACGATAAGAAGTATTTGGAGGAAATTGCAGCAGGCAATTTAAGTGGCATAAAGTACGACGCTCTTCTTCCACATCAGATCATACTCTATGCTGAAGATGGCAGCGATATCGAGCAAGCGGCTGAGCTTCAGTGGAAGACAATGGTGGAGGGCATGCACCTGAAGGGAAAGTTCAAAAACTGCTTGGCTCTGTATCACACCACCAAATACGCGGACAAGGGAGTTGGACGACGGATGATGATGAGTTTGGCACTTTTGCTGTCTCAACTGAGCGAAGGGCCATGGAAAGGCAAGGTGATCACTTTTGGTAATTCGGCCAAAGATCAGCTGGTACTACATTCGATACGAGGCGATGATCTCAAGTCCAAGTGCAATTTTATGAGGACAATGGAGTCCGACTTGTTTGTTGATTATGAGAAATTGTTTGATATTCCGGAGGTGGCTGCCATTGCCAAGGGGAGTGTGAAGCCGAAGCAGAAGATCAAGAAGGTGTTTGTATTTAGCGAGTCCCTTAGCGGCATACAAGAGAGCCAGTATGAGGCAATACGGAGAAAGTTTAAGGACAAAGGGTATGGAGATGACGCGGTGCCACACATTCTGTTTTGGAATTTTGGGGAATTAGAAGATCCGTCGATGCCTCCAAAACAACATCCAGGGCTGACACTGCTCAGTGGCTACTCCGACAATTTGATCAAGGTCTTCTTGTATAATGGTGGGGAAATTGTCCCGCGCCATCTAATGGAGGCAGCCCTTTCGGACAAAGAGTATCAAACTCTTGCTGTAGTCGACTGAGCTTCAACTGATCAATCCTCGATCCATTGGATAGGGGTGGTCTGATATTCTTTTTTTTTTAGTATGTTTCAGATTATTACCTTTAAATTTCTTTGCAGGGATATTATATTATAGGTTATATGGATGAACTGATAAATCCAAATTTCTTGAACAGTGAGTTGCTCCATCTTATGCTTATATGTTATATTATATGTCATATACATCTACATACATGTAAGTTAAAGACATTACTTAAGGCACAAGCAATAGCAATTATTGAATTCTAACCTTAGGCATCTGCGAGACCGAGTACGAGTTGGATATAGTGTCTTGAATCGTCATGTTCTCCAACAAAAAACCAATTCATTGGAACCCAGAAAATCTATCAGTCAAAGGATATAAAACAGAACAGAAAGCATAGAGAGCGAGCGAGCGAGAGAGTGAGCATCACCATTGTTTGATTTCAGTTTCATTTTATGAGATCGAAAAACTGAGGTATACACATAGCAAATCTGTATTAAAACAGGAAAGCAAATCTTCCTAATATGTCCTGCATTGTAAGTGTTTAATTATATCTTGCCTTTCACTCCAAGGCTCTTGTAATTACTATACAATGGCTACAGGCCATGCCAACTGAACCCTATCACTCTTGTAAACTTCGTTGCTACAGCTTCAATCTCGTTCTGATGGCACATGATTTCAAGAAAATATAGCCCAAGTTTTTGTTGTTTTAATTGAACTCAAGAATTTTAGTCTCAATATTTACAGTTTTCCAAGATGAAAAACCGAAAACTTCTCAGATTTACGCTCGTTGTGCTTGTTAATTTCAATAGTCACTTGCTTCTCAATTCTTCTAGAAATTACTAACAATTAACATGAAAGAACACGCAATTGACAAACAAATCATTTTTCTTGGTTTTAATAAATAGGTTGTAGTATATGAAGGGAATGATAGTAAACTTCTGCCAAAAACAGAAAGAGAAACACATAGACAAGCAAAAATTATCCATTCTTGTCTAAGATGGCTGTTTCTATCTTTTGCAGCGGCTAACGACCATTTTCTGCTGTTTGGTGACAAAAAATATAGTGTGCTCCAATCACGACTTTTAGCGCCACATCGAACCGCTACTAAAGGGAATATTTAGCGACAAACATTGAAATCGCCGCTAAAATATTTTTTAGCGACTACTAAACAAATTTTTTAGTGTCTACATATAGCGATACTAAAGATATTTTTAACGACAGCATGATTCGCTGCTAAAGAGACTTTCAGAGACGGAAAAAGATCGCCGCTAAAAGTCATAGAACAAATTTAAACTTCCTCTGCCTCCGCACCAATTAGATTTTTTTTTTCATACACTGGGTATTTGGGAATCTCCACCGGTATGAAGTTTTCTTAATCGATTGTAATTATGAATTTCACATCACATTTTTACACTTTGAATTGTTTTGGGTTTCCGAGAGAACTTGTGAAGATTCTTGACGGTTGAAAAGCAAAAGTTTCAATCCCCTACGGCCACACTGCATTGAAAACATTGATGTGAGAATGGAATGCCATGGAAGCAAGAATTAAAAATATAAAGAGAGAATCCACTGCACTAGGGTTTAGGATTAATGCATGGCTCTACAACTGTATACATTATAAGGTCGTTTCCACAAGAAAGTGTAAAACTTAAGAACTCTCAAGGTTTTACTTCAAGTTTCATACCTCTGCCAAGAGAGGCTGCATGTATTTATATTCATATTCAACTTACATCAGAAAATGAAAACCCTATTTACAATTCATGCAGCACGTGCTGCATGTGCTTGAGGAAATATAAAAACTAATAAGTCCATCCCTATTTACAGTGCATGTTGCACATGCTGAGGGCTTATATAAAACTAACAGTTCCATGACCATCTCCATGCTGCCCGTGCCTTTCTTGTCGAAGGCCACACATGATGTGGAGATAGAAAACTGATATAAAACTTGCAGTCCATACTTCTTGGTTCCCATATTCAAAATCTAGCTCTGCTTGGATAGGAGGCTCGGACTTGGTCTAACAGCCCCCCGCAAGCTGACAGGAGGAGAAACAACTGGAAGCTTGGAAACAAGATGCTTGAACCGTGAAGAGGACAAACCTTTGGTGAAGAGATCAGCAATCTGGTCTTGAGAACATATGAAATTCACAAGTAACTCTTGACGAACCACTTTCTCACGAACATAATGATAGTCTACCTCCAAGTGCTTTGTACGGGAGTGAAACACGGGATTAGACGCGAGGGCAATGGAGGAAACATTGTCACACCAGATGGTTGGTCGATCAAGAAGTAGATGTAGGTCACGAAATAAAGACCGGAACCATGATAATTCTGCAGCAGTATAGGCAAGCTGCCTGTATTCAGCTTCTGAACTTGACCGACTGACAGTTTTCTGCTTTTTAGAACTCCAAGACACGAGATTGGATCCTAAGTAAATGCAGAAACCACCTGTGGAATGCCGTGTATCAGGATTCCCAGCGTAATCAGCGTCAGAATACGCTGTAAGATGTGCAGCACCAGGTGTATACACAAGACCATGGTTGTATGTGGATTTCACATAGCGAAGGATCCGTTTTACTGCCATCCAGTGAGTATTCTTTGAAGATTGCATGAACTGACATACCTGGTTTACTGCATAAGAGAGGTCTGGTCTCGTGATAGTTAGATACTGAAGTGCGCCGACAACACTTCGATACGTCTCAACATCGTCGTGTGGCTCACCATTGTAAGCACTAAGTTTCTGTCCGCAAGAGACTGGAGTGGAAATAGGTTTAGCATCCAAAAATTTTGTACGCTTCAGCAAGTCCACAGCATACTTGGCCTGATTCAAGTGCATTTGATCACCATGATAAGTTACTTCAACACCCAGAAAGTAATGAAGAGACCCCAAGTCCTTCATTGAAAACAAAGTTCCCAGTTGATGAATTAAACGGGACATGTGGGGAGTGCTATTCCCTGTCAACAATATATCATCTACATAGATCAATAAAATCAAGTAGACACCAGAGTGATTGAAAACAAATAAACTGTAATCACACGTAGATGCTTGAAACCCTAATTGAAGCAAAAACTCTGAAAAACGTTGAAACCACGCTCGTGGAGCTTGTTTCAAGCCGTATATACTGCGGTGCAATTTACAAACATGGTTGGGATGCTGCTCATCAATGAAACCTGCAGGTTGTCGCATATATACTTCCTCCTTCAGAAAGCCATGCAGGAAAGCATTTTGTACATCCAATTGCCGGATGTGCCATTTATTGGAAACTGCCAAACTAAGAACAAGGCGTATAGTGCTGTGCTTGACCACAGGGCTAAAGGTCTCGGTGTAATCAAGTCCATGCTGTTGATGAAATCCATTTGCGACTAACCTCGCCTTGTGCCTCTCCACAGAACCATCCGCTCGTCTTTTGATCTTAAAAACCCATTTATTTGGCAGCACATTCAGTTGTGAATGATAAGGAACAAGCTCCCACGTGCCACATCGTTGTAGTGCATTAAATTCTTGAACCATGGCGTCCCTCCATTTGTGGTGCTTGACTGCCTGACTGAAACATGTGGGTTCAACTAAAGGTTGATCAGTAGAGACATGCAAGGCATATTTAGGATTAGGTTTGTGGATGCCAGACTGTGATCGAGTCGTCATATGCGACCTTTGTACTGAGGCTTGATGAAGTGAAGCAGTGTCATGGTCTGATGGTGGGTGAGACTGAGACGTAGGTGACTCAACACTTGTGACTTGCTCATTTAAAATGTGGTTCGGGGAACTAGGGTTGGAAGGACAAGATAACACGGGATTTTGGGAAAAATTAATGGGATCAGGACTTTGCGGAGTGGGCGTGGTTGAGGTTGGCTGTGATGGGATCACTAAACATTGGTTATGGTTTGGCAAAGGTAAGGATGACAAGAGTATAGGAAATGTGAACAGAAGATCAGGGGATGTAAAACTACCTGTGTGATCAACGTTTTCCCGCAAGGATGTGAGTTCCTTAAATGGAAATGAGTCCTCATCAAATAGGACATGGCGAGACAAATAAATTCGTCTCGTGGACAGGTCCAAACATTTATACCCTTGATGATTCAGTGAGTATCCTAAAAATACACATGGTTTGGACTTGGGTTGAAGTTTATTTTGTGCATAAGGAACAAGCCAAGGAAAGCACTTACAACCAAACACTTTTAACATCTCATAGTGTGGAGGTTTTTGAAACAAGGTCTCATAGGGCGATTTATGAGACAAAACACGAGTTGGCAGTCTATTAATTAAATAGGTTGCCGTTGAACATGCATCAAACCAATATTTATTTGGAATGTGAGAGTGAGTAAGTAGGACAATACTTGTTTCAACAATATGGCGATGTTTTCTTTCTGCTAGGCCATTTTGCTCGGGGTGTTTTGGACACGAAAACCTTTGAGAAATTCCATTTGTTGCAAGAAATCGTTGAAAACAGTGACTCTTGTACTCACCTCCTTCATCACATTGAAGGGTTTTAATGGAAGTATTAAACATATTTTCAACCTTAGCTTTAAATTGAACAAATATTTCAAACACTTCAGATTTATTTTTCATGGGAAAAATCCAAGAGTACCGAGAATAATCATCCACAAACAAAACATAATATCGAAAACCTTCAATTGAAATAACGGGAGAACACCAAACATCGGAATGTAAAAGTTGTAAGGGAAATTGAGAAACAGACTCTGAAGTACTAAATGGTAACTTAGTACTTTTTCCTAAAGGACACGACGGACAAAACGTGACATCAACAGTACCATGAATTGGTACTTGTTTGTTTGAGATTAAAAACTTGATAATAGAGAATGCAGGATGACCAAGACGTGAATGCCATTTCGGAGCCGAGACTCGAATGCCTAGACATACTGAAATAGGGTTTATGAACTGTCCACCGCCACCAACAAATGGGTATAAGCCATTCTCACATCTCCCGCGGAAAAGCGTCTTCCGGGTCTTGAGGTCCTTAACAAGAAAAAAATGAGGAAAG